ATCCAAACCCCTTCCCCCTTCCCCCTTTACCCCCTTTCCTTCAGGTTTCAACCCACTAACCCCTACCGAAGGCCATCTAACAGACACCCACGGCCCCCGCCTGATAGCGCTCACCTCCTTCGCCAGCCTCACCCTCCCGCTCCTCACCCTCCGCCTCGTCACGACCGCCCACCCCACGCACATCGCCCTCCTCCTGACCTGCCTGACGGCCATCGGGCTCCTCATCAACCTGTGCACGCCGGCGCTGTACCTCGAGACGCAGCACGCGCTGGCCGCGCTGGAAGCGCGGGACCCCACGGTCTTCGGCCCCACGGGCGCCGTCGCGCAGGCGTTCGGCATCCAGACGATGGCGCAGTTTTTGGGCCTGTTGGTGGGACCCCTGTGGGGCGGGTTCGTGGAGTGGCGGGCTGGGTGGGCGGCGATGACGGGGAGTTTGGCGGGGTTGGTGGCGGGGATGGCGGTGTTGATGTTCTGGATGGGGGAGGAGGGTGGGGGTGGTGGTGGGTTTTCTTTGCTTGGGAGGGTGGGTGTTTGGGGGAGGCTTAGGAAGTGGATGAGGAATTGCGGGGTGCGGAGGGTGGGGAGGACGGGGGTGGATGAGCGGACGGCGTTGTTGGGAGGGGAGGAGGACTCATAGCTAGCTAGCTACTAGGTAAGTACAAGTACTATGTATAGTACCATGTGCAGGTGTACTATACCTATTGCCTGGTTTGCCGTAGGTCAGGACTCGAGTATATACTCTAAAATGTTCATCCTCCTAATTGCGAACTTTGAATGGGAAAGATCCTTGTAAAACACTTGAACTAAAGTCGACACTCTACTCAGCTCTACCTACCCCCTGCCAAGTCCAGATCTATAACTTATAACCTCCCACTTTTGAATAGGCTCGGCCACTCCCTCAGACTTGATTCCTGCCAATCTGCCTTCTTCTATCGAAGCAGTCTGACTCAACACGGACCGCCATGATTTGGCCCATTGCCTCGCTTCATTGCAAGATCTTATGTGGACACGCAGGTAATGCGAGGGACACCACGGCAAGCCGCACTAGAGAGAGAGAGAGGAGCCGTTCATGTACAGATATCTGATTTCCACCCCAATATCTGTCTCAAACACAGCCAGAGACAAACTCGCATATAAGGTCAGGATTATAATACCAAACCCATTTGTCGTTTGCGCTAGGTCCAATCACTCCCGATCGGGAACGACACCCGACACCTAAAATAAAGCAAGCTCTTTTTTAAGCCCAAACGCCAAACAGCAACGCCAGTCCCATAAGCCCCTCTCCGTTCCTGGATAAGCTTCTGACGCCGGAGGTATATAAAAGTAAGAAGATTCACAAAGCCGAAATATAGTTCGCATCAAGCGAGTCCCGGTGGCCCAAAAGGCCAGGCACCGAAAAGAAAGCAGAGACAAGAGAACCCTGTGAGTGGGAGGATCCCAAATCGAGCCGGCCCCAATAGTGATCAGAGACTTAGCTGATCGATACTCCCCACCCGGCCGCTTCCTCCAAGGCGACCCCCTCCCTTGGTGACCATGCCTAATCGATAGAACCTCTCTTCGCCGCCGGGCGTCCGGCCGCCGATGTACCATTTCTCAGGACCGAGGGCGTCGCGGAACCCGCCCGAGCCGCTGGAGCTGTCACTGCCGCGCCGTTGACGGCCATGGCTATTGGTGATGGGGATAGGGTTCGAGGCGGCAGGAGTCGGTGGGGGAGACGATGCGCCGGCGGCGGCTTGGGGTGGAGTCGCGGCTGATGACGGGGGCGGGGATGCGGGGCTGGACTGCTCCTGGCCTTGGCCCTGGGCCAGGGGGCCGCGGTGGTGGGAGTGCGGGCGAGAGTGTGAAGATGAGGAGGTCGAGTGATGATGATAATGGTGTGCTGTGGAGGATGATGCCGAGGACGCTTCCGAGTTGTTGCTGGCTTTCGTGGCGATTGCTCGAGCAGCACTCTGGGAGATCTGGGCAGAGGATATCGAGGCTGATGTGGATTGAGTGCCGGCGGTGGAGGCTTTGTATGTAGACTGTGCCCGGAAGGCCGCAAGGAAATTGGCCAGGAATGGTCTGTTCGTGGACATTGCGATGGCTGAGAGGGAGGCGATGGATGATATATGAAGGGTGGTTGAGGTTGGGATTGACAAGTCGGTAGAGGAAGGCTAATCGGTGGACTCGAACCACCGGTCACGTATCGGATGTCCCAGGAGCGGAAGGAGATGGGTAGGAGAATAGGTACTAATACTGATCCGAGTGCTGCGAAGCGGGATTGGCTTTCTCGCGTATATCTATAGATCTCGTGTGAGGGGAAGTGGTGGATGTAGCGGAGAGGTCGGTGGAGTTCGGAGTTGTGGGTAGCCGCGGAGTTGCGGAGGAGTCGAGATCTAGAGTGGGGTCTAATGGTATTGATAGAGAGACAAGGCGTAATCAGGCGGTCAAATGTCCGACATCGACACGAGAAGGAAGATGAGATGGCATGTAAGAATCCTTGTCAAAAGGGTTGGGTCAAAAATGATGCAAGGGAGAAAGGAGGATGATGGACGGACGGCTCGGATGGATGATGGGAGGAGGTTTGGGGGGGGGAAGGCAAGAGGTCGCAGTCCTCCGGAGCATCCCGTGGATGATGGCCAATCACGGCGGGGAAATACCAATCCACGATCCGGGGCAGGCGGTGACGTCGACATTCAACTTAGTACAGTACAAGACATGCTGTGTGGAAATCTTACAGTATCCGAGGTTTACTTGAGATGATGGGGAATCGTTAACCAAGTTTATATTGTACAAGTGCAGTAGTAGTAAAGCTACCTAACTATTATTAGGTATCCAGTGGTAACTACTAATACATCATGGATACTTAGTGTCCTGAAGATCTTTCCCCACTCTTTCTCTCCACACTTTCGTTCTCTATTCCCATCTCCATCTCCATCTCCATCTCCATCTATCAAGGGTTCGAGGGGGTAAGTAGGTAATAGGAAAATCCCGGGATGTTCCCCTCCTCCGGACCAAAGGGACTATTACCTTATAAGTACGAATGGTACGGGGTAACCAACGGCTCTTCGGCTTCGGTCGGGCCACCAAATGAATCAATCACCTGTCTGTCGTCTGTCACTCCCTCACACCACTCCAGGCCACATGGCATGGCTATTCTTCCTGCCTTCTTCCACTTGTCTATCTCGGAGATATTCCCCGTAGCATTCGACAACTACCGTGAGCAAATTGCATACGCCAACGAATGAGCTGAGAATGAGCATGGGCAAAATTATTATTCCTTCTGTGAAATAATTCTAGCACTTTTTGTGATGACAATCCCTTCCGGAGCAAGGAACTGGAAATGCAGAACACCGTAAGATAGAATAATCGTCGCAGCACCATGCAGGGGTCGGCCAGGGATATGCATCCAGGCAATTCAACCGAACCAGGCCTCAAGAAGCGCCAACACAGCTAGCTGGCCTTCCTTCGGCAGCAGTCGGATTCCATAGGCAACCCCGGCCACACCCAGATGACAATGTAAGTCACAGAGAATGGGGGAAGGAGAGAGAAAATAAACAGGCCATACGCAACAGACCTCACAATCACACGAGGATAGAAAAGCATTCAAAGATGACTTTGACTTTGTATGAGCGACGTGTATGGAAACACCTTGGCAGCCCCAGTCCGAACGTGCATACCCTATCAAGGGACACATCGGCTCTACATACAGGGTGGACTGGGGGAGCTGACATGAAAGATTGAAAAACGGCCGTGATGATTATGCAAACAGAGGCCAAGCACACTCTTTTTCTTGATGCAACAGGGAAGAAAATCCGCGACAATGGACCATGCAAATCAGGGTGATGCATCGACAGAGAAGCCTTCCACTCAAACTCTTTTGATCTCGTTCCACATGAACGATGACAAAGTGAAAGTAGAGAAGAAAAAAAGCACATTCGCATAGAAACACATGCCCAAGTCTATGATTGGACGCCAGATAAAACCACACCATCCCATCAAAATCACTCATAATGGATGGAAAGAGGAAAACAGTAAAACAAGAAAATAAAACAAATCCTGAACCACCGCAAAGCTGCACTCGCCGTAGAAATGCTGACACTGTGTATTTCATCGCAGGAAGTTTCAATCACAATACCTGCAGAAAGAAAATGTTTTCATGACAATAAGAGATTTGGACGCTGAACAATCCGACCACGCCGATGCGCACTGCGCGAATTTCTTGGGCCTGGCCGATACCCACTTTTTTCTATCTTCATTGCTTTTTTTTGTCTAACTTTTGTTTCACCAATCGAGTAATTCTTCTTTTTTTTCTATCATTCCTCTCTCGTTCGGAAGTCAAAGCGGCTTTCAGATTGATCCATAGAAGACATAATCCGAACCTCTAAAGTGATTCGGAGTATTGGAGTGAAATCGAGGATCAGAGACGTCAAGTATGTCCGGAAAAGAGTCGTATATGCACAAGCGTCCCCAATTTGAGATCCGGTACCACTGCACATGTCCTGAGATCTTGAATGCGTAACGTCGTATGACACGTGATCCCACCGATGGGAGGTAGTGTGATATTTTGATTCGAGTTTGATTTAGAGAAAAAAAACTCCTTTTCGCGCCAATTGCATGTTGGGTTTAGCGTGGTCAAGATACAGACATCCGCCCTCATTTACTCGCGACTATTGGCGGGCGGGCTGAACGGTGCCTAGATGACAGGTGAGTTAGCATCGAACCCAATTCTAACAGGTATCCTTTCAACTTACCGTCGCCGCTCATAGTTGACGCCAGATAAAGTCCGTTCATGCCACTTTCTTGGGGACCAGGGGCGGTGGTAGTGGGGTAGAACTTGCGTTCAGCGTCAACGTGAGCGTGGATCGGCTCCTGGCCGGCGGCCATGGTCTGCTGAGGGAAGACCTGGTTGATGTAACCGTCGGAACCTCCGGGCTGAAACATCGAAGTCCAGTCAATTTCGCCAGCATGATTGGGAGTGGGGCCAGGCATGACAGGGCGCTTAGGATCTTGAATAACCGGGGGCTTTACCTGCTCAAGGGGAGGACGGTCAACGTTCAGTTGTTGGCCAGAGGCATCAGCGCCGGGCTGAACCATGTACGGGCTCTGCTTAGGAGCAGCAAGCCAGGGACCTCTCTGTTGAGGCTGACCGGCAGGATAAGCGTCCTCGGGAGGACCGCGGTTCATCCCATTCACAGACGACATGGAGAAACCCAAAGGCTGCTGTTCCGTGTAACCTGGACGGGCGGGAGCCATGCCATTGCCGTTCACAGGACCCTCAGCATACGTCGCACCGGGGAGACCGTTGGGAGGCGGGATGGGATTGTTGACTTCCTCCTGAACAGGCTTGACAGCATTGGCCGCAGCTTGGGATCTCTTCAGATGCGCCTGGGGATGCGACAAGTGAGTCGCTCCCGTGGGGTTACCACGTCTCAACGAGCACTTCTGGAAGTGGCGCTTCAAGATATCACTGCGGGAGAAAGTGTCCTTGCAAAGAACACACATGTAAGGACGATCGCCCGTGTCTGTAACACACGTATGCCCGTTAGCGCGATACAACTTGCAATGCAACTCTCACCGGCTGTATTTAACTTACGTCTGAGCAAATGACGCTTCAAGTGCTTAGCATGAAGATATGTCTTATTGCAGTGCGGGCATGGGAATTTTCCATCTGCATCCTTGGCGGGAATTGTGGTGTTCTTGGCAGTTCCATTGACGCCGTTGGTGACCGGAGTCGCGCGTCCCGGAACGCTCGGAAGGATACCACGACGGCCCTGCGAGCCAACAACCTGGGTACGAGGAGGCTCCTTCGCAGCATAAGGCGCAGCGCCATTCGGGCCTGCCACGGGATCCTGGTTCATCCAAGGCGAGCCCTTAGCATCCGAGTAGCTGAAAGCACCCGACGGAAGTGCGGAGTAGTCGGAGCGACGGTCACGCGGCGGGGCCGGCGCAATCGGCTGAGGATAGGACTGAGCACTCGACGCGGGGGGGAGCACGCTGTGCGGAGGAGGATAAGGTTGCGACGGCTGGGGCTGGGCCTGCGGATTGTGATGGGAGAGGAACGAGGACGGAGGCAAGCTACCCACGGTCGTATGAGGCATGATAGGAGCCGCGGAGGTCGCGTAGACATCGTGAGTTGACGCGGGATATCTCGAGAGATCCGGCCGGTAAGGCTGACCCATGTAGGAATGAGGGGCAGGAGACTGGGAGTGATGAGGCTGGAGCGGGGGAAGAGTATGCGGCTGGGACACCGGGTACTGGTGCTGCATGGCGTACTGAGGCATTGGCATGCTTGAGATAGGTGTCGAGGAAAGAGGCGTGGAGCCCTGGGGCAGGCTGGTGGATGGGGGCCGTGACGGATGAGATCTGGGATCCATCGTGACGCGGGGAGGGTGTCAAACAGGAGGGGTGAGGGTGGAAGTGAAGGGAATGGGGTTTAGGACTCGCAAACAAGGATTTCACTGTATCTTGATCATTGATCGCAGAACGGAAACTAGGACCTTTCTGCAAGTGTGTTGCGATCAAAAGGCGAAGCTTCGAGGATGCGAAAAGCTTTTGCCAATGTCACTGACTTCAAAATCCTGATCGCGTCCTGGTCGACGAGAGGATTTTTTTCGCTGTGTGAAAGTTTTCGGTCCCTCCTTTGACTCTCCTCTCTTTTCTCTGTGTGTTTTCTTTCCGGGGACGGAATTGGATGCTTGTTCCGGACAGACGCGAAAAGGAATCAACAGGTGTTGTTCGGGGTGGTGAGTTCGGATGGCAATGGACTCAAGGGCAGTCCAAGGTCGATGATAGAGATGTGCAGGAACAAGTCCGACTCCACTGCAGAAAAGAGGTCAGGATGAGGTCGAGATGCTTAATCTGAATTCCCCACGGTCACCCACCAGAAAATCGAGTTGTGTGGGAACTTCTTTTTATCCGCACGTTGTCAAAACAGTCAATGGTTCTGATCCACCAGGGAGGCGGCGTGTAAGTGGGTCTAACAGAACCAGCAGCAGTGCTAGAGGGAAATTTTGCTAGTCAAATTCTGCTTCGCGTCAACAATGCGCAGGATTGACCAGTACTTTTTTCGCTTTTCAATTCGGATGGGGTGAGGAGAATAAAGAAACTGCCAGGGACAACGCGTATAGATGCGGAGACCAGGGAGTAGGAAAAAAGATGGAAAGTAAGGGGGGGTGGGAGGAGATGGCACAGATGAAAAAAAAAAAAGAAGAATGATGGATGGGTTTGTAAGGAAACAGAGAAGAGAAAAAAATGTTAAAAAAAATATGAGATGAAAAAAGATGAAATAGGAAGGGGGAAAAAAAGAGAGAAAAAAAAAAAAAAAAAAAAAAAAAAAAAAAAAAAAGAGTTGCCTCAAAAGAACGCACCCAAGGTAGAGAGCCGTTCTAGCAGTAGTACTAACTAGTAGTCACGGGAATGGAGGGGGAAAGGGTGGGAAGGGGGGCAATGAATAGCGGCGGCGGCAGTAAGAGAGGTTAAGAGGGATTGAAACCTCGCAAAATCACAAACCACGGAATATTATCAGTTTCCGACAAGCAAAAACAAGTGGTACAATCTTTTAGAAGGGAAAGGGGGACGATACTCTTAGACGAGTGCGAAACTAATTGAAGGTTAACTGTGGATTGGCGGTGACGATCCTAACTCTGGGAGGCAAAATGCGCACCGGAAAAAAGCTGTGTACTGCTTGAGGAAATTTTAATAATTTGGTGGCATTAACTTACCATACTTATTGCTACTAACACTGGTGCCGTTGACCTGATTCGTGCCTCACCCGGTCTCCGAGAATCGAACAAGAGCCGAACGGGGTCAAACTACTACTAGTATCCTGTTAAGTAGTAACTTAGTACGTACTGGACTCATACTATCTACGGAGTAGTGTCTGGTGATCAAATGTACAGTACTGTACATTTGATCGGGAAATCAAATCCTCTGTCTTTTCCCAGTAACTTCCATTTCATTCACGGTTGACTTTGCTTGTATCTCTGGCTCTGTGCCAAATGAACGGCAATTTCGGCACCCAACCCTTTCCGAAAGGTCGCCCCGGAAGAGCAGGGAAACGAAGAGATCCTTTTGGGAGGAAATCTAACATCGAATTTGGTTGGCACCAGCGGCAAGCAGGGGAAAAAAAGAGGGCTGAGGACGCTATCCCGACGGCCGATGCTCGTTGGTTGGTTCATCGAATTCGATTAGGGAATCAAAACTCGAGTTTCGACTCGTTGGTGGGAGAGAGAAAAGGGCACGTCGGGCGTGTACCGAAACGAGGTACCTCGATGGTATCCTTGCCGCAGACAGCTACGTAAAAAGATACTTGGCAGTAACTTCGTCGTTACCGGCCTTGCAGCCTGCCAATCGTAATCCACCAGGGATCAGGCAAAGACGCAAGCAGGTAGGCAGACTGAGAGATACCGTCATGATCTTGTTCTAGCCTTTCAGACCCGCGCCCGTCAAGCCTACGTAGTGAGTCCAGTGACTCGTTCTGAATCTTGATGATGAGAACTTAACTGCAGGTGTTTCTTCGGGTTGAGGAGTTCTATTTTGGGCGTCCATTGGTCGAACTCAGTTTTGTCCGTGAGCAATTGTGAGACTGGTTTCGTTTTCTCTTGGTATATCCTTTGTCTTGATATTATAGTACAATAGTCAGACATATTCTGACTTATCAAAGGAATATCAGGTGCTGGGACAATGAGATACCCTACATATGTAGTAAGCCAGGACACAATCATGGATGAGGGACTTACGCCGTGGTAAGTAACCTAACTGGAAGTTAATGGAGGGGCGGAATGGTGGGAGGCTTCCTATGCAGCCGTAGATCGGGCTCCCGGGGGGCGACGGATCCTACTAACCTCAACTAGGACTGGTAGGCCCAGTGGGTGATCAAAAACTCAGGCAGCAGCCCGGTTGAAGCATATCAGACGAGCGGGAGAAAGAACCCTTCATCTCTCCTTCATCTCTCCTTCCCTCCAAGCAGGCTACTCGGTTATGTGTATGTAAAGCACGGAGACTCTCTCTCTCTCTGTCTGTAACTACTGTACGCCGGTTTCAGGAGCACTACCTACCTAAGACCCTTCGATTTCCTTTTCCGATCACGGTCCAGTATCTCGGCTTCTCTTACCTGTGTACGGAGTACTACTGCAATACATGCACTCTGAAACCATGGCTAATTCGAATGCGTTCCTTGTTGACCTCCTATATCCTGGGATATACTAGTCGACAAACACGTACCAAAATATGCTTGATGTCATGAGGCAGGCGGACATCTGCATCCTTTCTCCGCAGTTGACAGGCCCGCCGCCGGCTCCATACTGGTTCCTCAGCGCTCAGTCCCTCATGGCACATCCACAATTCCACATGAGCTAGAGACTAGAGTAAGGTAGGGCGACACGAAACCTTATCAAAGTTATCATATTTGCGAGAAAGTGGAGTGGCATCCTGCTCGAACCTGAGCTCCTGGCTTCATGGGCGGGAGGAACAATGGTAGAGGCTGCCCACTTCGACTCCACGGCTGTCAAATTGTCAAATCTCGATCCAGGAAGTATAAACTCCATACCTGAGTAGATGAGCGGACGATGGAGACCTCCTTCCCTCCCGCATGGGGCTTTCCCGACCTCCATCTGCATGTTAGATCCCATGTTGGACCCATGTCAATCAAAAGCTGTAGGCACTGTGCGATGAGTACTGAGTACTATGTATTTAGATCGAGCTATCTGGCCACTACAACAGTCATCCCCTTTTCGATCCTCAACTTCATACACACCACACTCCCAATGACGGTATGGGCCGCCAATTCTGCCGCTCATATGCAGGCTTCAACGCGCCTCTGCCACTCGGTCCTCCTTCGTCATCATACCACATCCCCGGCCGTGAGGCGCCGGGGAGGAAAAGGTGGCATGGATTTCTGCGGTATCATAGGGAAGCTCAACGGCGAGCATGCATTACAGTACTTTGTAGCCGGCTGTGTATTGATCTACACGGAAGAAAGCACTTTTGCCCTCGGTCCGTGCTACACGTATTGCTGGTCAATTTGCAAATTGCGTAAGCCGCGGCAGGCAATGAACAAATGAAACTCTTCCAGTGCCTGTCCCGAATGTCTATTCATTTAATTGTCAAAATCAGGAGTTCCTCTCACGGAGCATTTCTCACCCCTGTCTGCTTGAGAAGCCCTGAGAAGACGATCTGAGCGAGGACTGATTCAGCTGCGACAAATTTCAGCCACCCATCGAAGCAACGTCAGATAAATATACATCACCTGCATCGCGCATGGACCTTCTAGACTGATCCGTCACTGAGACTGTCCTTTGGTCGAAGTTGCTTCGGACTTCAACTAATTGCCAATTCGATGATGCCACGCACCTTGTTTCATCCCCGATGCCAGTCTAGATCATATCATATGCCCGTGTTCTAACTACTGTACGGAGTACATTGTCCAAGTCCCAGGACCGAACCGAATACCACCCGCGCCTGAACAATTCCATGGGTGCGGATGTGAACCGTATCCTTACCCCTTTCGGTTCAGTAAGTATGATGAATCAGAAAACATTGTCTCAGTCCATCATATTTCCTGCAGTCGAAAGATTGTTGTTCGGAATTGAAGCCAACAGTTTAGGATTCCAGCCCTCCTTTATTCAACACAACATAGTTCGAGAGACCCTTTTTGTACGTTTTGTTGCCCTTCCCTTTGCCCATCATCTGCATAGTGCATGCCCCCCTCCCCCCAAGTGACCGCCCATTTTCGAATCACCACCGTCATTTTAGTATCCAAGATGGGTCTCCCGTTTAGGCTTCGTTCGTATCGGCGGCTGTTCTCCACCAGGAGATTTTCGCTGGGAGCTTCTCCCGCTTCGATTGTGGACCTTCCTTGACCAACCCTACCTAAGCCTTAGGCAAAGTCCAAAGTGGGATTCGGATCCGTTTTGGGGACAGTTGTTGCTCTGTATCACAACAGCAGTAGCATATCCGAACCTCCAACTATCTGATCTGACCATTGCATCGATTCCATACGGTCGGCATCCGGCATTGGAATTCTCCCAACTCAAGAGAAGACCTCTCGCTCACGTAGCATTCATTTCACGGTACGGAAATACACGAAACAAGTTACAAGATTAAGAAAGAAAAGAAAAGAAAAAAAGCTCATCAAGCGAATAGTCATCCATTTCGGAACACCGCGGATGAAGAATCCCGGGGGTCGGCGGAAAAGGTAACTTAGGGTGGTTGAGTCAGTAGTACGTACAGTACCTTTTTTTCGACCATCGCTTTTGTTGTTAAGTTTATTTCGCTCTTCTCAAATCTCTTGCTTCCATCTCGTGGCGGCTACGGAGCGCGCTGGGTGGTCGAAGAGTACTAGTGAGAAGGATTTGGGTTCGCCGTCTTCCCGGAAGCAGAGCGCAGAGTAATGGTACGTACCACTCAATTTCTTTGCAGGAACCCAGCAATGATTTTTTATTCTGCTGCGGTCAAGCCCGCACTATGCCACAAGAAGATAAGAGAACATCAGACTACTTGTCTCTGGTCGACTTAACGGAGTACCATAGAGAGAACCCAAAATTCCCTCACAAAAGACGACTGCAATAACCGAGAAGACGATGAATTGATTGAGTAATAGCATCATAATCTAGTTTGGGGAAATAAAAAAGTTGCAAATGTGAGATTCCACACCGAGCTTAGCAACATTTCCCAACGATGTGTGTGTGGTAAGTTTTCAGGACTTAGTAGTACGGAGTACCTCAAGTGTCTATCAGGGAAAGAACAAAATACGTAGGTGTCAGACACAACCCAAGCTGTTTGTACTGTACCTACTCCGTACTCCGTAGCAGTCCATTCTGCAACAATCCATCCTCGCTCAACTTGCCGCTTACGCCTTTCTCCCCGCCGCATCGGCGCGGACAGGGCTTTTTTTTCTTTTCCTTTCTGCCCTTTCCTTTGTTTTCTTTTCCTTCCAAGGAAGTAAGCACAGCAAAGAGACAAAGCACAAATGATGACCAGTTTATCATCATCGTCATCATCGTTGTCTTTCGGCCTTTGCTTTTTTTCCCTTTGGACTGCCAACCCATTCGAGCAAGACTGGCATGATGTATCATGGTCCCAGTGGAAGTGCTCCCGGGCTCAAGGGCAAAAAACAACCCCCCCCTGCACGTCGCCCAATGTGGCGATCCGATCACGGCGGCATGGCCAACCCGTTTTTGGTGCTCCACAAAAACCCAAGCGGAAGCCGGTGGGATGGGCTCCGCTCATGGAAACTTCCACGAACAAATTTCGACGACCAAGCCAGGCGGTGTGGGAGGATCCCCTCTAAACCTACGGTATCTGGTCCGAATACTCCAGGCTCCGTATTCCCCAGCCCTAGACTACCCGTAGTAAGTGTGTCGGTGACTGAGGCAAGCAGAAAAAAGCATCATGCAAGCCGATAGGTAGATTTTGAGGTATGTATGTGTCCTTCTTTTTCTGTGTGTGTTTCTTGAAACAAAAAAATGGTACTGTGTGGTAGGCAGGGTGGAATTTCGGCATCCTCTGTCTACTACTACTTGGTAAGGAGGGGAACCCGGAACTGACTCGCCTAAAGGTGCTTGCTCAATGGTTGGTGAAAGAAATTGTCCGATGGGATCGTCGTCTGCTTGCTTTTTCATCATCACAAAGCTTGGCTTTCGCTTGTGAGACTGCCGAGTGATGATGTCTGTCTCAGTCTCGCTGGTCGTGGCTGCGATAGATGTGCATCTCGGCACTGAGTGCTACTTCTGCTACAGCCTACGTCCCAGACCTACCTTACCAAAAGGCCAGGCTAGCGCTGCTTTCTGTACGGTGTATCAGCTCGACAAGAAGGACAGTTGCCAGTGTGATTCATCTACGTGGCAGGAACAGAACAGAACAATAAACAACGCAGCAGTGTGGCTGGGGTAAGGACATAACAGCGCCAGTAACCATCACCACTACGGTCCCTATCAAAAATGGCTCAAATAGGTAATCATGATGATATGCTACTGATACGCTCAGGTTCTAGTCAGCACTCTAGGCTGGAGTATGGACCCCCAACATGCCAAGGTAGGAAGTGGGAGTGTGCGAAGACTACCGGTAGGGCGACATCACCGACAGGTACAGACTACAGGACTCCGGTATAGTACTCCGTACTCCATACCGTACCGCTTGCAGATCGTTCATTCTGCGCTTCTCTCCCCGGTCTCTCTCATTCGCCCGAGTCGGGGATGGTCCGCAAGATCGTAGACAAGGAAGTGCTGTGAGTCGGGGCCTCCTGGAGGGATTGACCGGGAACTTCCCTCGGCACTTTTACCCTGGCCAGGGTGGTTTTTCCGAAGCTGACCGGAGTAATGCCGAAAGACCACGCTATCCTTCTGGATTGGGTCTTCACCTTCGCACCTTTTTAAGTATCGGCTCGGTTTCGGAAGTGGTGCTGGGGTCGAAGCACCAATCAAATTCCGAAACATTGGCGAGGCGAGAACGCCACACACCTCATCTAACCTTCTTAGTCCGACCGAGGATGACCAGGCTTTCTTTCCCCAGTGGCCTGAGCCTTGGAGTATGCTGGTGGTTGTTGTGTTGTTGTTGATGATCATGATGATGATGATGACGATGTTGCTGTTGTGTGTTGAGCAGTGTCTCCCTTGTCCGTAGAAGTAGGATTGGCGCTGAGCTATCTAGGATTCGCTCAAACCTCCCTAGATCCTTTGTCGGGATACAGGATCCATCCTCGCAGAGTTCCAGTTCATAGCCACCGAATCGACAACTGGGTGGAAGACTGGTGTGCACTCTGTACTGGAATTAGATTTAGCCAGGGTCTGCTTGTTTCTTCTGTTTCGGGGAGGAGGGAGCCTGGGATGGGTGCAGGTGTGTGCAGCCGTGGCTTTAGACTCTTCCCCTACTGAGCCTAGTCAGAAGCTAAGTTAGAAGATGCACCACAAGAAAAATACCTACGCTAAACAACCAAAACCCGCGGTTTAGTCTAGTTACCATCCTCCTGGTCACGCTTGGGGAAAGTAAAAATCCTACTGCCTAAGGTTGATTGTTAGTGAGGGTCGCTGCAGCGCTGCGCACTAGGGTGCTTAGTGTCAAACTTGGCACCCGGAGAGATCCTTCCTTCCTGCCCCTCCAGATACCTCTTGCGTACATTATGTACGAAGTATCATTTCCGATGCCATGACTGGCCGGAGTTCTATGGCGGAGATGTATGATGTATGAGTGTGCATGTTGAACGTTGAACAATCAGGTCATGCTTTTGACTAAGGACCGAGCCTGTGTCTCTGGTCTTTTTGTATCTATCGACTACTACTGCTGCTAGTAATCCATGCATCCGACGGAAGGGAAAAGGAACCACGAGTACTCCGCGGGCGTAGCTGAGGATGACTTTCGATCGAACGATATCTTTTCCTTACATTTAGAGAATAGTCTCGCCAGACGAGACGAATCCAAGGGAATCGAGTCCAATCGGCCCATGGTCGCGTCGATCCGCCGCCATATGGATTACAATCTTTCCATCCCGATGCGCACTTCAGGGCCAATTGCTCAGCACATATCGGACGACGATGGGAACCGGGAGAAGGCCGCGTCATGAATTCCTCTCGTCTATGAATCTTTCAACTCGTACACTTCCTAAATTCCCTACGGAATAGTAGCCCATCATCACCAAACAAGAAACAAGGTTCAAGCAAGCGGCACGCGAGGAGAGCGATCCTCCTCCTCCTCCCCTCCACCGCACCGCGCGCGGGCGGGGAGGGGCAACATAAACTTTGCTGCCTGAGGCGCGATCAGATAATGAACAAATTTGCAGGGATAAGACATAGTACTCGCAGATTGATATCTGATACAGTACTGTACGTATCTACAGGGCACAAAGTACAAAAGTGGTTTTAGGCTATCTCTTCCAGTTTCTTAATTCAGAACCGATTAGATTTAAATTATGCTCTCTTACTTGTAGAAAAGGAAATTGCCACTGACCAACCAACAGAAACTGGCCATCTTAAAGACTAACAACAACAGCAACACCAGCAATAGCAAGCCACAACGCGGGCTTACGGTGTACGCAGTCGACCTAGGTAGCCGACATACCTCGGACGGAACCTTGATGCCAACCGCCTGATGATTAACGTGCATTTGTAACTGTAACCTTCCAGAATAGGCATCCTAGACGGGATACTTCCTCAAGCCGATATGAAACTACTTTTCGGGTCGACCTGAATAAATTGTATAGGTGTTGATTAAGTCGGTGGTTGGGCAAAAAATTGAGCGAAATATCAAGCTGAATTATTATCTACTTTTGGTATGTGAACTAGGTTCTAATTCTCCTCAAGTAAGTCTAGTCTAGTGGCTTGTTGAGAGTGAGCGGACGAACGGGGAAATGCAAAACGCCAACCTGAAAACTGCCCAGTGGCCAAGTGTCAATGGAGGAGGAATCCACTCTCTTCGCGAACAACCAGCCCCTCCATTCCCATGGCTCCGGGTTCTCTTGTCTTTTCGTTTTCTTTCCTGTCTGCCCCTCTGCCCCCCCCCCTCCTTACTCCCCCCCCTCCCCCCTCCGTTTTTTCCCCTGTCAATCATATCTATCATGATTAGTCACCCAGGGACGGAGAGGAGGGGCAGTGAGGGAGGAGGGGTGGAAATTCTACTAGACGGGGGGAAAGAGGAAATTGGTCTCGTGCACGTTTTCTGGGCACATCGTAGTCTACCCGTATGTAGAATAATTATGGATGAATTGTGTACTGTACACATGTATGTCTCACAGTCTTTGGAAGTGTCCTCACATCACCCATCGTTCAATAAACCTCCGTCAGCATGATTGCCCCTAACTAACCTGTCGTCGATCGGCCAATGAGGGATTTCGGTGTACATGACGTAGAGGACTGAGAATTTTCATGCACTGATCAAGTCTCTCAACCGATCTAGACTCGCTGACCTACATAGTGAATTCGATGAATTGACGGGTGATTCGGAAGCAGAGGAGGGTTTATGCAGCGATACAGTTCATTGCACTTCGGATTCCTGTTCCCACCTGCCTCAGGCCGACGGCATCATCTCTAACTACAGTACCACGAGGCACTGGCGGGATGGTGGTGTGAAGTACTGTAACAGAGGCATTGATGAAGTTATGAAGTACAAATATAAAAAAGCCCACCCACCTACATACAACAACCCAAGAGGTAGGGGTACTACTGTATAAAGTACCTCACGCCAAGTTGAGTACCCTCTCACCCCTCATCCAATGCTATAAAAACTCCCGAACAAACATGCATCTTGGCCCCCAAATCCTTCCTAATCTACACATACTAAGGTAGAAGGGCTGGTCCGGTACCTGCAGGTAAATTCCAAACCAGCCCAGATGCGTGGTGTCCACTGTTCCCCCCAAGACTCCAGTCGAGACTTCTCCCGGCTAAGACGCAAGAGCAGCAGCAGCAGCAGCAGTCGGGGCTGCAACCGGGATCAATTAGGTTTCCAGGCCCCAATGACGATGGGCAGGCAGGCACTGGGCAGGGTTGTCAGCGCTTGTTTGTTTGATTCTCCTCTTCCCCCTTGTCGCAGGTCAGTCAGCCCAGCCCGCCTTACCTGCCCACCGCTGCACCGCATGCCCGCCCGCCCGCCCGCCCATCCCGAACAAAGCCCCCAGAAGCCCATTCATTCGATCGGGTTCCTTTGTTGTCCACTGTCCAGGGTTTCGATGGTGGAGCTCGTGCGTTAGGGAAAGAGAACCGATTTGCATTATGGAGTCTACGGGGTAGGGTGCCGAGGATATTACTGGAGGTTGATTGAAGGTGCGGGCGATGGTTGCTTGTACTGTACAGTACCTACTGGCCGGGCAGGCCAGTTGGCGGGCAAGGCATTTAGACTGTACCTTACCTACCTGAGTGAGGAGGGGATACGTTGGTTGCTCCTCATGCATTGTGTTGTACCTTTCTGGATGTATATATGCTTACATACTCTCAGCTGTGGTGAGGTGCAATCTACAAAGGTATTGTAATCACTTTGATTGATTGGACCCGAGGAATAATGAATGTATCCGGGAGGATTGTGGTGGAGTAGCTATGTTCTGCTACACGGGTCCTATTCACAGTAGAAGTTTACAGATGTATATCAAGACCCGATCTATAGGACAGTCCCAAGTCAACCAGCCCGAACAGCGCCTCAACCAATATTAAACAAATCCCACATGTCAGTAAATGCTCACCCAGAACTCACTGAGCATATCAAGAATCACCTTGCGTCGAGTAAGAAACCACCCCCCCCTCCCTACCCAAAGTAGGTGATGTGCGTGCTATAACTATATAATCGTGAATCAACCACTGCAGTTACTAGTTGCTTAGTTATAGCTGTGTACCCCACCAATCCAGCCCGAACAAGTAAAATAAAAATAGACTTCGAGACACAGTGACGGGATGTCAAACGTCCTTCTGTAGCACAAACACCTGCAGTTTGTCTCACCAGCCGACCTATCAAACCTATCAACCTGCCCTTCCAGAATTACGCCAGATGACTACGGAGGCAGCTGAGGATCTCCCGAAGGTTACACCCGAGATGTATGACACCCTTCCACAGATATTACAGGTCCTGTTCGTCGTGACTCTTGTCGGACGTATTGTATGTCTCACTTTTTTTTTTTCACTCGCGAATTCACCTATGTTCTGGTCAAGTCTGCCAGGCATGATGGAGGTGTCGGGTGGGAAGATGGTCTCAAATGTTGATATGCTGAGGCGTTGACACCTGAAAATCCCTCAAGTTGAAGCAATATTTGCTTCATGTAGCTAGTACATACAGGTATGCATGTAGACAATCCCGTTCAAGGGTGCAGGATGGGTGGGGGGTTTCTACAGCGATTGCCTGAGAGGAAAGTGGCATAACCAGGCCGGTATAGGAGAGAGCGCACTAGTGAATGAGCTCTGTACGAATCGACGAGCTATGTCCGAGGATTGAAATTGAACAATCAAGGTAAAAGGAAATCGGCCCCGTAACTGCTGAGCTATAGATACTATCGGCTCGTAAGAATCAGGGCCGGCCGGAAAGTTTTGTTGTGTAGCTATTGCAGGTTGGAAGCTGGAACCTCAGATGAACTCGTGCACTCGAGGTATATCGCCTGAGAGTTCAGATTCAGTCAAATTCCAAGAAAAAAGTGGTTCGCAGATCGAAATCAACAATATATGTCTCAATAAGTCGATATAAACACGGAAGAAGGTATTAAGCTGGGTATGGTACACCAGGAGACACGCAGGAATCATGTTTTTTACAATCACTACTGCTTCGCAGAAGACTTACTCGACGGATGCGCCGGTTCTGCCACTTGGTCAATGACTTCGTCATCCTCCCCCAGTCCGTCGATGATCGTTTGGTCCTGGACGGCGTGGATCGCGTGCTCCACGTTGACGACGGGACCCTTGAACCATTTGTGCGCGTCGATGAACCACCAGATGATCACCGCCAGCATCGGCGCGCCCCAGACCAGACACGTCCAGTTCATCAGATCGGGCGTCAGGTCGCTGCCGGTGACGCTGGGGAGACAGAGGATCGGGATCATGAGGAGGACGAACGCCACGCCCGCGCCCCCGATCCAAGGGCCGAACGGACCCAAATGCCAGGGTCCCTTGCGGAACCGGTTCCCTACAAAGAATACCCGGATGGCGATGGGGACGGCAAAGGCGAAGAACTGCGCGATGGCACCGATCGAGAACAGGGCTCCGATGGCCGTGGAGCCGGCTAGCATGAGGAGACACATCAAGATCCCCAGAATCCCATTGAGAATGACCGCGTTGACGGGTGTCTGAGTGTGGGTGTTGACCTTCTTCCAGATGCCCGACAGAGGGAAGCAGTCATCTCGAGCATAGGCGTAAGTGACTCGGGATGCGGCTACCATGCAGCCCTGGCCCATGGAGAAGCCGCTGATGATGGTGAGTGCTAGAACAGCCAGCGCAATCTTCTGCGGGAGGACCTGCAGCAGATAGGATGCCCAGGGCTGGCCCAGATCAGAGTCCAGAACAGCGTTGATGTCGGTCACCGTGTAGGCAACCACGAGCTGCAGGAACCAGCCGAACACTCCCCCAACTCCAGAGGTCATGACAATCGCCCGCGGCGAGGCAATGTTGGCGTTGGAACATTCCTCGCTGAGATGAAAGGGCGAGTCGTACCCAGACATCGTCCAGATAACCCCAACAAAGGTCATGAGCACCGCGACACCGTCAGGAAAGTCAGTCAGATTGGTGATGGTGCCCCAGACCTCCTTGGATGGGGTGAATCTCGGCTCGTTCTTCGTCCCCGCGGGAATTGCGATGAGGGTCACGATCAGGGCGAGAATATTGAACGTTGAGCCCCACGAATTAACACGAGCAACCCAGCGGGTGGGCATGCTGCTGATCCCCGTATGAATAATCATGATGAATGTGGTCAACAAGAAGGTCTGCCAATTGGTAGGCACGTAGTCGGGGTTTGTGATCGAGGCAGCCGCTAGAATCATGGCAGCCAGGGCGTAGTCGACCGACGGTGCTGCGGTGATCTGCCCGATCCAGTTGGACCATCCGGTGATCCACGCAGCAAAAGGTCCATAGCCTGGTGGTGCAAGGACGGCCGCTGCGTAGTATAGACCACCGCTGGTGATCAAGGTTAGCTCGGATCTGGGGCTAAGCAGATATCAGTGGAGAGGCACCCACCTGGTGGGCATTGCGGAGCATAGCTCGGCCATAGACATCGCGACACACTGGATGAACAACATGGCGATGATCCACCCCCAGACCATACCGGCGGTTCCTGCATAGCCCATGCCTTCTACATGTCAGTCATTTCTTTCACAACGTTGACCAGTCAGGAAGAAGGTGGAGATACCGTAGTATATTGTACTCGCGAACGAGGGGAGCAAGCCGAGTACCGAGAAGCTCACGCAGAAAGTAGTCCAGAGTCCAAACTCGCGCTTGAATTCTTGCTTGTATCCGAGGGCCACGATCACTCTTTCATCCGCATCCATCGCATGATCGGTGTAAGGAATGTCGCCCTCGGGCAAAATACTAGTGACGGGCGCATGGTTGACATCCGCATATATCGGTGCTTTCAGAGTAGTTTTGCTATTATGCTCAGAGACAGACATGGTGAAGGCCTGCGAAATTCTCCGCTAAGCGTCCTGATCAGACACCCCAGAGGAGAGGGGCAATGATAAGCAGGTTCCGGATGAGGGGTCATTCGCAGACAGTTGAGACAAAGAGCAAGCACTGCTAGACAGAAGGGTCACACAACAGCTGAGTCTTGTGAGACGCTTTTTTTTTCAAGCAGAATCGAGTGGGCTTGAGACCGATACATCGCGTTGAGGATGCACTGCAATATAAGATAGTCCATCTTATCTATCGCGAGAACAGCTGTACCGCGTCAGGCGAAGGGTCCGACAGAGACGGCACCAATCAATCTTTATGGCGGGTGATACGCATCTATCGACCCCATAGTATGGATCTTGATACTGCGACTAGCCGAGGCGGGGGAACCAGACGCTGATACGCTTGGCACCAGGTCATTCACCTATCTACTGGACAATCGGATTGGAGGGAATTTCAGGGAGAAGCTCACACGCGGAAGTCGATGTCGAGATGCCCAAAGCCCGAATCACATCTGGTCGAGTCGACTCCAACCTGGAATTAAAACCTGTAATTCCCGAAACCTAGTAAGCTGACTTTACTAGGTAGGGAAACTTCGCGCGCTTCGGAAGAAGAAATTATCTCGTGGGACGATTCGTATCAGTGCTCGGACAACCGGCCAGAGGTTCGCAAGCTGCACTTATCGGAGGAGATGGTTGGCTGCAGGGCTGCAGATGATAAGGCTGGATGGAAAGGATGCTGCTGACTAGGTATGAGGTGTGAGCCACAAAACAGCCAGAGATAAGAGGACTTGGCCAGGTTGGACTTGCTTTAATGAGCATAGTCAGTCAACCTTGATGAACAATTCCCCTGACAAGATGCCATCCAAACGAAGTTGACCCACGATAGAGGAATTTCAGAGGTCCACTACCATATCAAGCTTGAAAGGCTTGATGCCTCCTTACTGTTGTTTCTGCATTCGCATATGGGTGACTGGCTGTGCGAGAACCATGACACAACACAGTACTTTGCTGTTTATGTCCGAGCACAAAGGCAAGGAAAGTCGGTGGGGGCGTAAGTGGGTGTTGTTGGATGGTGATATTCTCCGGCCGTGGCGGAGTGATAACTGAGTAGTAGGTGTAACTACCTAGTCTGACTATCGATAAACTTACTCCTTGTGTACACACAGAGCCGGCTAGACAATACGATCAACGCACCGGAAATCTACCACGGTCTTCAACTCTCCGTGTAATCGCTCGATTAGAAGATACATTTGCGATTCAATGTGAAGGGTATGCGACTCGCTCATAAAGTGTCTCCGTATCCCCCTGCTGCGGATACACAGCAGACCGAACAGGCATCTGCAGCTCTTTGACACCAACGTACCAGCTGTGGAGACAGAACTAGAATACTGATTGAAATGAAGGAATGGGGTGAGATGCAGGACCTCTGCTGTCACCCATATCAGACCAGAACTGGAGCTGCTTCTGGCGGGCTAGTACATTGACACAACCACGGACAATATTTGGTAAGATTACCGGAGAACAGTTTGTTTATAAGCAGGCTTTCTCTAGTATGTGCTATAAAAAACTCATCGCTATTCTACACGTACAGCACCTCAAGTCTCTTTTGCTGTCCAGCTATGAAGCGGTATATCCGTACAGGGTGACCGGGCCTTGTGTATAATGGAAAAACAACATTTGTCTCGATATTAAGGACATAATTTAGAAGGGCTAGTTTGAGTGTTAGCATTCGTTCGTGTGCATGACAATAGGATCCCACATACGTTGTCCTCGGGGGCGATGGTGCGGTCAAAGTACTCATCGAGGAAGGGGACCTTCTGGAGGATGTCACGGCGGACACGGGGGACCTCGCCGAAGAAGAACAGAAGGAAGACACCGGCGCTGACACCGAAGCCGCTGGCAATGGTACCACTGTTGTTTTGATCGTACGTTAGTCGACGCCCTCGCAATGGTATTGCCGTTTCGGACATTGGCGCGAATATGGCACGTTCGAACACAAGGCGGAAGACACTCACGCAGTGACAGCGGACCGGGTGGTAAGACCGTGCCAGTGGAGGGGAGTCGAGTACCTAAATTATCGAGTAAGTCTGTTAGCCGTAATTCTCTCATGCACCTTCCAATCTGTGTATGCAGCAGTTCGCCATCAGTCGTCCCCCGCTTAGGAACAATTGGAGCTCTTTATCGATCAGATGCCCTGGCATATCAATGACCGCTGAATGGAGCGAAGCGGAGCTCCGCAAGGGCCGGTCCAGTGCCAGCCTTCATATCTGTGCTGGGAAAAAGGTAACGATGATTCTGGGGTATATCTCACTTGGGACCGAAGGGAGAACGGTAGCCACTGGCGTTCTGAGCCGCAGCGCGGCGAAGAGTCTGAGAGAAAACCTACACGGACAACGATTCACGTTAGCAATTGACAATTTTCATCCCTTTCCATAGTCTATCACTGTGACATAGCCGGGTCCGGAGTTGGCCACTAATCAACTGGAAGCGACAACTTGAAGTCATGCGACTCTCAGACTGCCAGCCCAGTGAGGGTCTATCGGCATGTACATACCATTTTGTTTGAGGTCGAAGGAGGCACACTCTGCTCCAGTAAACGATATGAGGCTGCAATTACACGTTGAAAGCTGTCGACGAAAACCGGGAGACTCCGCGACGTTCTCGTCCGACCGCCCGCGGCCAATCAGCCGGCCGAATTGAGCATCACGTGACCATCAGCTTGTCGAATCAGATATCGCGCATTTCCACACCTCATGCCCCCACGAAGTAGTATGGAAGTATACAAGCTCGTTGTATGTGCCAGCAAGCTACTACGAGGTGAAGAAAGTGAGGGACCGGGACTAGTCCCAGTATCATCAAGATGTAGCATAAAGAACACCAAAATAGAATTGAAGAGGAAAATTGGGTAATAGAAAAAGAATAAAAAAAAAGCTGACTGTACACCACCCCAATTCACAGTTTAATCTACTTTGCCCGTGGAACCACCATTCAAGAGTCCTTCCTTGCCATCGAGGTTGAAGAAACCTCCGCTAGAGTTCCCAGTAACACCGAGGATACCGCCTCGACCTCCGCGTCTCGCCGCCCTGCCTCGAGCCACGAATGTGGCACCGACAATGGACAGGATCAAGATTATGACGAACAAAATCGGATGCCCGCTGATGAAAGAACGAGTGAAGAAGAAGATCGACTCAAAAGTGCCAATGGTAGACTTGGGTGTGAGCTTAGGAGGGTTGGCAACCACAAGAGGTATAGTTTCGAGAATCGAAGTGCGAGAGGCCATAATGGATGCTCCGCTGGAGGACGTATCCCAGTAGCGGCGGTTCTAAGACAAAGTCAGTCAAATGTACAACAAGTGGGGTTTATCACCTGCAAGAAACTTACATCTTGGTCGTTAATAATGACACGCTCTCCGTTCTCCACATCGATACCAAACTGAGTCCGTAGCCACCGCTCCCAGAAATCACCATCAACCCAAGCAAAACCGACCTGCTTCTTGTCATCCTCGCGGATGGTGATACGCATGTTTTTAGCAGCCCGAAGCGCACGCTGGTCGTTGCGGTCCTCAGCCTCTTCAATCCGCAATTGTTTAGCATCCCGCAGCTCGGCGCGCTCCAGCTGGAACAGCTGAACCTGCTTGTCCATCCATTCATGGGCCGCATTCTTTAGCTCTCTCTTAGACTGCAGGAACTCATCCGAGTGCTTGCGGCTCAGAATACCTAGTACAACGTATTTGCCATCCATAATTTCACGAGCGTTGGATGCCGTAAGTTCAGGGACAATAGGCAGCCAGACAGACCGCATCCATCCCAGGATTTGCCGGAAGTCCCGCATGTCTTTGGGAGCGAGTGCGTTGTAGTAACTTGGGCGGCCGTCCCGGGACACCAAAAGACGAGGCCAGGTAGAAATCTTGAACCTTTCAGCAAGGGCGCCGCTGTTAGTCTTGACTAGTCTGGCATGCCCGACCAAGCTAAGAGTCAGACGTTCAAGAGCCTTGAAGTCCTCAGAAGTCGTTGCGTGGTCGTAGAAATAGAGGAAGATGACGTCCTCTTTCTCTTCCAGTTCCTTGAAAGTGGTAGCGTCCACATCCTGCACGCCGGAGCCGATCTCCACGGCCTTGTTGGCATAATTGACCAGATCACCCAGACCACGCAGGCCATTGTACTCAACTCGTTCACCGCCACGGAAGAAGTAAATCGTCGGGAATTGATTCACTCGGGCGTCCTTGCAAAGCCGAGTCTCGACATCGCAGTTTACTTCGCCGACGTTGAGAGTACCCTGCATCTCTCTGGCCATTTCTTGCCAATTAGGAGCCAATGCCTGACAGTGACCGCACCAAGGAGCGTAGAACTTGATAAACCAAGGGTCTTGAGTAGTAGTAACAAGCTTCTGGAAGCTTTCCGCCGTAAGAGGGACAGAAATGCCCTGAGGATTCACTGGACCGGATGGCTTAGCCTTGGTCTGCGCGGCATCCTTGGCAACAGGAGCATCACTAGAGGCAAGCTGCGCGGCCTGCTCATTGTGCTTCTCTCCAGCCTTAGCGCCAGCTTCAGGATCTTTGTCCTTAGCGACAGGGGCATCGGGTTGAGCTTTGGTATCAACGCTTGTATCGCCCGGCTTGGGCAGGTTCAAACCTTGCGCAGGTCGAGAGCCAGGTTTAATCTGTTCCAGCTTCTCTTCGACGAACTCACTCAGTCCTTGCATACTCTTCTTTCCCGTAAATTGCTCAACCATCTCGCCATTGTGATACAAAGCGAAGGTGGGAAAGTATTTCACCTCCAACTTGCGACACAGGTCCCCGTACACAAGACAATTTACCTCGGCGAAATGAAAGTTGTAGAATTTATCGAAAGAGTTCAGGGACTTGGTATCGGACGACTTTCCAGAGGACGAGGACAGAGGATCCGAGGTCTGAGAAGGATTAGAGAACGCAGTAGGGGGTGAAACCCTAGGGACGCGACTTACATAGTAGAACTCATAGAGTGTCTGCCAAGTTGGCGCAATCTTTTGACAGTGCGGACATGACGGAGAGTACTCTTTGATAAACCTGAAAGGCCTGTTAGCCTGGAGCGGCCAATCTAACGTGGCGCATTGAAGAGTGTGCTAACCAGTAACCATCCTTGACGGTTTCGTCGAAATCATCAGGGGTCAAAGACCTGATAGGCGGAACCTCGATGCCATTGAAGAGAGTCGACTTGGGCTCGGTCGAGCCATCCCTCTTCGCGAGATGGTGCTTGGGAGAAGCATCACCGGCGGAGGTAGCCCACGTCGGGATGGAAAGGAGAGAAAGGAATGACCATGCCAGCAAAGACGCCCTCATGCTGGCTGTAGGTCAAGGACAAGAAGCCTTCGAGGTCCTTATTCAGAAAGAAAGAAGAAGTGGGGTTGGTAGTGAGAGTCGAGATAAAAGTTATCAGAAAACAAGGATTGGCCGTTCACAGGTGGCACATCGGAGTGGAAGTGACGGGTGGTCTAGAAACGAGTGGATCGCCAGTGAGTCGGGGAACCACTCAGACAGGGGGCAATCAGCACGAATTCGGTGCTCCAAGAATACGCAGCAGATGTCTTGCGGAGTACGTCGATAGGACGACAAGCCACCAGACGGAGGAAAGGACGCAGGCGAGAAGGAGACCACCCCTATTATAAGATTACCATTTAACCAGATATCATGGAGATGATGGGCGGAGGCGGTAGGAGGAGGAAGAGGCGCAGGAGGGAGAACTCGGGGTTAGGTTCCTCCGCAATCCGGGACGGAACCTCAACCCTTCGTGCATCCATCCCGATTCAGTGTGCTCATCGTGAATGAACGACCCGATAAGTCACCCCGCTGCCGTTTGCCATTGGGTTTGATATCAACGCCCCTCTGGGTCACTCTCATTCCTTTCACTACCTCACACACCCTCCGCCCAACATGAGGTCGACACTCCGGTTGCTGGCCAACGTCAAGCCGGCTCGGTACTTGGAGCCTTTCGCTCCCACCGGCTTGACCGGCCTGAACACTCACCCTAGCCCTCGTCCCACCCTGATCTTCCTTTACACATCGACCTTGAACAAGCTCAAGTCCTTCCCCGAGTCCTCCGTCTACCGTCAATCCACCGAGGCATTGACCCGCCATCGTCTGCAGATCATTGAGTCCACGAAGCCGCCTGGATTTGAAGCTTGGTTGGAGCGCGTGAAGAAGACCGTGGGTGATGAGCCTGAGCGCTTCTCTAGCCTTCTACAAGCCAACGGCACGTACGCAGGTGCTGAGCGCCTCGATGGTAGCGACAATTCCCGTGGAGAGGAGTGGGATGGCGAAGCCTTGGAGGCAACCACTGAAGGTCCCGCTCGTACACCAGCAGAAGAAGCCCGTTTCACACAGCTCTTGGAGGAGGCTTCTTCTCCTAAGAACAATGAATCGGACTTCCACCCTGAGGAGAAGAAGTGGGAGGCTGAGCCCGCTCTGACGGCAGAACAGTATGCCGAGATTGCCCTCTCCAGAACCGATTCATCGGGCGGAACGTGCTGATGTTTTTGGATATAGGATCTCTGAAATTGAGCAGCAAATCGGTGCCGGTCTTATTGAGGAAATTATTCAGGTCGCCGAGGGTGAACTGAAGGTTGTTGATGAGTTGTACAAGTCGAAAGCGTAAGTCGACATCAGCATGGTTCAGCGATGGTATGGAATGCAATACTGATATGGTCACAGCTGGGAGGAACTTGAGGAGAAGGCTAGACCTGGCCAGTGGTCTTACTTCGAGCGCCCCGAGTAAGTGCTCGGCATAATAGGGTCTTCTCATGAATGACAGACTTGACTTAAGAATTCCCATTGTTTGTAATTATAAGTTTACGTGTGTCCAATCAAAACCAATCACAATTGCATGATGATGTATAGGTTGTTGTCTGAGCTAAGGTTCCCGGTGGATTGTATCTGGTTTACTGATAACCGCTGGTCGAACGGGGTTATCATGCTGAATGTAAAGAATAATGATTGATAGGGCCTTATGCTAGTGCAGGATCTGCTATGGCATATGTGACTGTAAGGACAGCGTCCCGATTGAACAAGTTAATTTGTACACGCGCATAATTATTCAGAGGACTACCCAAGTAGTAGACATGAAACTGGCCCCCGGCCACCCACGAGGGGGATGATGATCCAGAACCAAAGGCGGTGAGTCTCCCCCTGTCGCTAGCCGATTCCAGATAGCTGGCGGGATTCCCATCTCCTTGTGGACACATCGCTGTCACTTCTTGAGTATCTACGTTGACCTCGGAGGCCATTCAGGCTGAGGAATTTTCTATTCTCTTTGTGCTTTCGTATATCTTTCCTTCGGGAGTTCTTGACGTCCCCGGGCTGGGCTGTTTGAGCGGCTCGTGGCCTGGTTCCCCCTCCTTCTCACAGGCCGTCCTCCGACGCCGCACATAATCGCGACCTTCCTTCCCCACACAAGATGAAATTGGATGTCAAGGTATGGATGTCGACTCTCGAGGAGTTGCGGACCTTGCTTCAGAAGACCTTGCATATGCTTGGTGTCGGAGTCTACGAACAATGTTCAAACCGCTGACTGTTGTTGTTGTTATCGAATAGAGACAGCTGTTCGCCCGCTCCGAGCGGGTGAAGGGCATTGACTTCCATCCAACAGAGCCATGGGTGAGTATTCCAGCCATAAGGAACTGTGGGCAGGCGCTGATACTTCCCAGATTCTTACCACACTATACAGCGGTGCGTTGGGGAATTGCATTTCGACCATCGCCTCGAATGCGCTAATACGATCACACAGGTCACGTTTACATCTGGTCCTATGAGACTCAAGTAAGTTGCCCTACCGTTATATCACGTATGTCATGATCGCTAAACATGTTTTTATCAGTCGATCATCAAAACCTTCGAGCTTACCGATGTACCTGTACGAGCCGGTCGATTCATTGCCCGCAAGAACTGGATTGTCTGCGGTTCAGATGACTTCCAGCTTCGCGTTTACAATTACAACACCTCTGAGAAGATTGCTTCGTTCGAGGCCCACCCGGACTACATTCGCTCAATTGCAGTGCACCCCACGCAGCCATTCGTTCTGACCGCATCCGATGATATGACAATCAAGCTTTGGGACTGGGAGAAAGGCTGGAAGTGTGTCCAGGTTTACGAGGGCCACAGCCACTATGTGATGGGACTCTCGATCAACCCCAAGGATACCAATACATTCGCATCCGCATGCTTGGACAGGACCGTAAAGATCTGGAGCCTTGGCTCACCACATGCCAATTTCACCCTGGAGGCCCACGAAACCAAGGGTGTGAACCATGTCGATTACTACCCGCAGGCGGACAAACCATATCTTCTCACCACCTCCGATGACCGGACCGTTAAAGTGTGGGATTACACTACGAAAGCTCTCATTGCTACTTTGGAGGGACATACAAGCAACGTTTCTTTCGCTTGCTATCACCCGGAACTGCCTGTCATTATCTCCGGCTCTGAAGACGGAACCATCAAGATTTGGCATGCGAACACATACAGACTCGAACAGTCTTTAAGCTACGGCTTGGAGAGAGCGTGGTGTGTCTCCTACCAGCGAGGTCGGCAAGGCGTTGCGATCGGTTTCGATGATGGTGCAGTAGTAGTGAAGATGGGACGGGAAGAGCCAGCTGTTTCCATGGATGGTTCAGGAAAGATTATCTGGGCCAGACACAACGAGGTTGTCTCAACAGTGATCAAGGGTGGCGATGTCAGCATTAAGGATGGTGCGCCACTTTCCCTGCCTACGAAAGAGCTGGGATCGTGCGAGGTCTACCCTCAGACCCTGTCCCACTCTCCTAACGGACGGTTCGTCTCGGTCTGCGGTGATGGCGAGTACATCATCTACACTGCTCTTGCGTGGCGCAACAAGGCATTCGGGCAAGCCTTGGACTTCGCTTGGGGTTCGAAGGACAACAGCAATGACTATGCCATCCGCGAGTCGACCACCAGTGTCAAGATTTTCAAGAACTTCAAGGAAGTCAGCGGCGGGCTTGATGTAGGCTTCCAAGCTGAAGGTCTCACAGACGGTGTGTTGTTGGGTGTTAAGGGTCAAGGCGGAATTGGTATGTTTGACTGGGAGACTGGAAACCTGGTCCGCCGCATTGAAGTCGACCCCAAGGCTGTAAGTAACAGGAACTGAAATTCCCTCATTGGATTGTCGCTAACAACTCACTTAGGTATACTGGTCTGAATCCGGAGAGTTGGTGACTCTTGCCTGTGAGGATTCTTTCTATGTCCTCCGGTACTCCCGGGAGAACTACATTGAGGGCTTGAACGCCGGCGAAGCCGACGAAGATGGCGTGGAGTCCGCTTTCGAGGTTGTCACGGATGTCAACGAGTCTGTTCGCACGGGTCAGTGGGTTGGAGACTGCTTCATCTACACGAACTCGACGAATCGCCTCAACTACCTGGTCGGCGACCAAACCTACACCATCTCCCACTTCGACCAGGGTATGTATGTCCTTGGCTACCTGCCCCGTGACGGCCGTGTCTACCTTGCCGACAAGGATGTCAACGTCGTATCGTTCGGCTTGTCTCTCAGCATGGTCGAGTACCAGACGGTGGTGTTGCGCGGCGACCTGGACACGGCAGCGGAGCTGCTCCAGGACGTTCCCCAGGATCAGATGAACAAGGTGGCTCGTTTCCTGGAAGGCCAAGGGTACAAGGAGATGGCACTCGAGGTTGCAACCGACCCGGAACATCGCTTCGAGCTGGCCCTGGCCCTGAACAACCTCGAGATCGCCCTCGATATCGCCCGCGAAGCCAACGTCGAGCACAAGTGGAAGATCGTCGGAGACGCCGCCCTCGCGGGCTGGAACCTGGCGCTGGCCCAAGAGTGCTTCACCAATGCCAAGGACGTGGGCTCCCTTCTCCTGCTGCACACCGCCAGCGGCAACAGGGACGGGCTCCGCCAGCTGGCCGCCCAGGCCTCGGAAGCCGGCTTGCACAACGTTGCCTTCTCCACCTACTGGTCCCTCGGCGATGTTGACGGCTGCATCGACCTCCTGGTCCGGACGAACCGTCTCGCCGAAGCCGTCCTCTTCGCCCAGACCTACAAGCCCTCGCGGGCCCCCGCCCTCGTCGCCCAGTGGAAGGCCTCTCTGGAGTCCAACGGAAAGACCAAGATCGCCCGCCTCATCGGTATCCCCCCCGGCACCCCTGACGCCGCCGCAGATGATGACCTCTTCCCCGAATGGGACGAGTACATCCGCCTCGAAACCGAGGGCGGCGCCGCTGCTGCTGCTCCCGCCGTCCCCGAGCCTCCTTCGTCCGAGTCCCTGATCGACGTCCACGGCGACGATGAGACCGCAGACAACGGTGCCCCCGAAGTACAACCTGAGGCGGGTGATGCGGAGGTCGTTGCCGAGGATGAAGCTGAAGAGGAGGAGGACGAGGAGCAAGAGAAATCCGAGTAGAAATCACCCACCTACCGACCATCCCGCCTAAGATAGACCCTTCTGTTTGTGTTTTGTTTTTGTTGTGGCATGGTATGTGTGTATGTTTGTGCTTGTATTTAAATCCCCGTGGGAGAACTGTGCCGTAGGATGAGAGACCTATGAGAGGAAAAAGAAGAAAGTTTCCACAACGCCCTCTTTTTCTTTGCCTCTGCTTGCATCTTGTTTCACATTTCCCCCTCCCATTCTTCATTTAATTCCCCGTTTTCAATGTATTGACAAACAGCTAAATCTTGCTTGCGTGGGATATCCACCCCCCTTCCTCCTCTTTTCTCTTCTCTGATCCAATTTCCCCTCACATAGCTATTTGTTTTTCAGACCTGTTCGTTATGATTCAATATTATGTGTCACTTGTTCTCTTCCCATAGAGGTATGATGTATAGCCTGTCTCAACTGGTCAATCGAGCCGAGAATCCTTATGTGAAGTTCATGGTCTACTTACCTGGTGTCTATGTGCTGCTTACAGCCGCCAAACCAATCACATCTACGCATTCAGACCATATACATTGGGTCGTACTTTCACAGCAGCAGAAACAAAAAACGTCAATTGTTGTCTATGAGCCAGTCACATCGTGAGAACAAAGTAGGGGAAAGTTCATTTTCCGTAATTCTTTCTTCTCCCCGTCCCTCCATTCCCCGTAATCAAACCGAAAAGCAACAGCAGGAAAGGTATCGAGCTATAGGGAAAATAGAAAACAAGATGTCTAGGTCGAGACCGCGGACACAGTAACTCATGCATTTTTTGATGTTCGGTGATGGGCAAAAATTGGGCTCGAAAATCCCAGATGGACGCCAGTTCCTCCGGAAGGAGATAGAAAATGAAGCCTCGGCAAAGTTCGATTGGATCAGGCCAGCAGACCAAAGTCAAAAGCGTCAAAGGCTGGATAGACCGAGACCAAGAAGAATATTGGGGATCTGTTGAAGTCCGGTTTGTTGGCGCGGAGGAGAGAGGAGCGATGGCGTGGAGCCGCCTCTGCCGCTTGAGCGTCTCTCTAGCAAAAGAGGCGGCCTAAGACTTCACTGAAGTAGTTGAGCCCGAGACAAGAGTGAACAGACACGGTCGCGATGAATGAAGGGAAAGACAGGAATTGAGAAATGGACCAAAGGGACCTGCCTCGATTGTATTGGATGCAAAACCATGTAGGTTAAAAGGGAACACACCAAGCGCTCAACTAGGATCACTGCCATGGAGGAAAAAAGCAAAAATCTCGACAAAAAAGCCTCACGTACTCCCTGTGCTGGTAGAGGAGATAAGAGAAAGACAGCGAAAATGAAGAGAGAAACCCGAGCTACATCGCAGGCAGGATATGCAGATGAAAAGGGAACAGATTGAAGAAACTGTTTCAAACAATTCCTTCTCCGTGTTTTGATGTCACATTGTGGTTGTGTTGAGTCCACCTCAAGAAC